TTTCTTCGGGAAAAAGTTCGATGTAGTATTGTCACTCCATTGTTTGTAGGGACCAGTGATTATGTTGCAGATGTTTTTACCAAACCTGTTACTCTATCCATTCTCCGGGACTCCGTTGTCAAGCTTGACTTAGTTGATATTTTTGCGCCTAACTTGAGGGATAGTGTTGGAGTATAGTCTAGTTTAGTTTATTAGGGTTTCTTTTCCCTTTTTAACCCTTACTATGACTTTATATTTTGCCTAGACCACAAGAATGTTTAAGTCACTTTGTATTATTATTTAACTATATATACGGAGCTCTACTCTTAGTTTGAGTATCTCATCCACTCACAAATATTTCTAGTGAACCATTATTCAAAAACCTAAAAAAAAATAAAGACATCCCCCCTCCCCCCAACACACACACACACAAAAACTTGTTCCCTGTTGTTAATTTACACCCAAGGCTTGTTTTCTCCACCTACTTCTTTTATCTCTGCACCCAAGAAATGGGAAACACTGTGGTTTGTAGAAGTTAACTAGGTGGCTGGAAGGAAATAATCCAACATAATTGTTGTTCAAGTTAACAATCAATTTGTTGCCTAACCAACCACTATTCAATGGGTTATTGTTCTTCATATTCTTTGGTATCTTCGAGGCACTATGCATTAGAGTCTATTATTTCCTTCATCCTCTTCTATAGAACTCTAGGCTTACTTGGATGCTAGTGATTTTATAGATTGAAAGTCCACCATTGGTTTCTAAATTTTTCTTGGTGATTTTCTTATTTTCTAAAAAAGCAATAAACAAACTATTGTTGCAGTTCATCTACTGAAACTGATGTATCATGTGGTGGCATTCACTACAGCCCAAATAGTCTAGTTATGTTGGTTGCATGTTGATCTTGGCATCTCTGTATCTACTCTTACCCCTATATACTGTAATAACTCAAGTGCTATTTAAATTGTCCACAACTCGGTGTTTCATGAGTGTACAAAACATATTGAGATTGACTATCACTTTGTGCGTCATTATCAACAACTAGGCACTATCTCTTCTCCCTTTCTACCTTCCACTATACAGTTGGCGGATTTTTTTATGATATTTCACACAATAGCGTGCTTTCATTTTTTGCTTGGCAAACTTTTAATATTTTCCACTATCACATCCTAAATTTGAGGGGGAGTGTTAGAGTATATTTAGATATTTAGTATTAGGAATAGTTTAGTAATTTACTTTATTTGTGTCGTCCTACTATATATAGGGTCTCTATTTGTGTCGTCCTACTATATATAGGGTCTCTATTGTGTATTCGATTAATTAAGTTATTACACAGACTCAAGGTATCGCAATATTATTCTCTCTTCTTAATTATTGTCTCTTTGATCATAGTCTTCATATTCAACAATGAGACATCACTCACTCAGACAATAAATCAGAATTTAAACAAGGTTTAGATATCCAACTATATGATGCACAACATAATCCCCTTAGCAGCTAGGAAATAAGGTTAGACAGATTAAATAGGACAAAGACCAAGAAGGAATAAGCAAATATATAATGGAAGCATATTCACTGACATCCGGTGCAAAAAAACAAAAACAATTGTGAAATCCACCTATTGAGGGAGAATATATAAGCCAACCAGAAGTATCTGCTAAGAAATGAATTATAATGCATAGTAGTTTATCTAACTTGAAGGAATAATTATGAAATTGCCATGCTCAAGAAGCATAATTTGGTCAGTAGCAAAAATAATCACCTTTCTCTAGTTAAATATGTAAACTAAGAAGCACAGACCTGGACACCAAACAAGGATACAACATGACACGATCCCGACTCGACAACAGAGAACTTTTACAAAAACATAGAACACGAACACGTTGAGGGATGCGCTAAATACTATGCGTTTGTGCGTGTGTGTGTGTGTGTATTTCATTTTCAATTCCCAGTCGAACTAAGAGTTAAGAACTCACCATTTAAGATAAGTTATCAAGTCAATAATGTAGCAATTCTAACATTTCACATCAAATAAGCCTGATAGCTATATTATCAATTAGAAAATTGTTTTCATTGGAAACGAGTATTGGGGTTCTCCATTTTCTTCTGAGGTGATATCTGTGATTGAATTTTGAGAGTTTGGTAAAAGCAGAAAATATTTACTATATGGAGATGTGTAGTGATGGCAAACCCATTAGGTCTTATTGTTAGACAGAAATGCTAGAATCTTTATAAGTGTATGAGCATCAGACTACGTTGCGGGAAAGAGTTTTGGATGTTGGTGCTTTTTGGATGTTGGTGTCTTTCATTTTTGTAGGTATTCTATTATTTTTTATTAGGGTATATTGGAAATCTGCATGTGACATGTAATTTGTCTTTTATTCATTCAGTTNTTTCTACCTTCCACTATACAGTTGGCGGATTTTTTTATGATATTTCACACAATAGCGTGCTTTCATTTTTTGCTTGGCAAACTTTTAATATTTTCCACTATCACATCCTAAATTTGAGGGGGAGTGTTAGAGTATATTTAGATATTTAGTATTAGGAATAGTTTAGTAATTTACTTTATTTGTGTCGTCCTACTATATATAGGGTCTCTATTTGTGTCGTCCTACTATATATAGGGTCTCTATTGTGTATTCGATTAATTAAGTTATTACACAGACTCAAGGTATCGCAATATTATTCTCTCTTCTTAATTATTGTCTCTTTGATCATAGTCTTCATATTCAACAATGAGACATCACTCACTCAGACAATAAATCAGAATTTAAACAAGGTTTAGATATCCAACTATATGATGCACAACATAATCCCCTTAGCAGCTAGGAAATAAGGTTAGACAGATTAAATAGGACAAAGACCAAGAAGGAATAAGCAAATATATAATGGAAGCATATTCACTGACATCCGGTGCAAAAAAACAAAAACAATTGTGAAATCCACCTATTGAGGGAGAATATATAAGCCAACCAGAAGTATCTGCTAAGAAATGAATTATAATGCATAGTAGTTTATCTAACTTGAAGGAATAATTATGAAATTGCCATGCTCAAGAAGCATAATTTGGTCAGTAGCAAAAATAATCACCTTTCTCTAGTTAAATATGTAAACTAAGAAGCACAGACCTGGACACCAAACAAGGATACAACATGACACGATCCCGACTCGACAACAGAGAACTTTTACAAAAACATAGAACACGAACACGTTGAGGGATGCGCTAAATACTATGCGTTTGTGCGTGTGTGTGTGTGTGTATTTCATTTTCAATTCCCAGTCGAACTAAGAGTTAAGAACTCACCATTTAAGATAAGTTATCAAGTCAATAATGTAGCAATTCTAACATTTCACATCAAATAAGCCTGATAGCTATATTATCAATTAGAAAATTGTTTTCATTGGAAACGAGTATTGGGGTTCTCCATTTTCTTCTGAGGTGATATCTGTGATTGAATTTTGAGAGTTTGGTAAAAGCAGAAAATATTTACTATATGGAGATGTGTAGTGATGGCAAACCCATTAGGTCTTATTGTTAGACAGAAATGCTAGAATCTTTATAAGTGTATGAGCATCAGACTACGTTGCGGGAAAGAGTTTTGGATGTTGGTGCTTTTTGGATGTTGGTGTCTTTCATTTTTGTAGGTATTCTATTATTTTTTATTAGGGTATATTGGAAATCTGCATGTGACATGTAATTTGTCTTTTATTCATTCAGTTTTCTTCAATTTATTTCTTGGTCTACTTTTTGTCTCTCAGGTGAGTCAAAAAAAACAATGTGCAACTGCTCTCCACTTCTAGTCACTAATTAGTGTTATTCTGTCCTCCGGAGACTAGACTCCACCAAGAGGTTCTTGTTGCTAATTAAATAAAAGGTTAATTGTACTAGAAGTCCCCAAAGTATATGGGTTGCCTCATTTTGGTTTCTAATATTTCAATTGCATCATTTTAGTCCATAAAATACTAAATATATTTCTATGTGGTCCCCCAAGCAGACATCGTCTAAATTTTTAACGATTTTTGATTATAAACTTGTCACTTAATACCAAATATGGACAAAAAAAATAATTTAGATAACTCTTGACCAAATTTTCATCCAAATTTTGGTCAAGGAGCTACTCAAATTACACAGTGATCATGAGCTTTTCAAATTTTGATCAAGAACTACCCAAATTATTTTGTCCATATTTAGTTATCACATGACAAGTTTATGATCAAAAATCATTAGCAATTTAGATGTTATCTGATTGAGGAACCACATAAAAACATATTCAATACTTTAGGGACCAAATGATACAACTAAAATATGGAGACTAAAATGAGACAAACTTTATACTTTAAGGACCTCCGGTATAATTAACCCTTAAATAAATAAATCTTAATATTAATCCTCAATTCAACCTTTTCCACAATTCCAACAATCAACATCATAAAACAAAAATAAAATGTCAAATATACACTAATATAAATTCATCAAAACCATCCATTATCCAACATTCAATAATTACTACAATTATGATTTAAAAAGACCCCAATTTAACCCTAATTTCCATTCAATTTCAAAGAACACTAAGCAACCCGAATTTTCATAAAATCATTGGCATATAAATAGGATATTCTATTTGTATTTAATTTCATTGCCCTCATTTCGTGGTCGCATTTGAATCTAAGTCCCATGTTTGTGAGCAACAAGAATTCCTTTCAAATAACTTGTTTGCCTCTTATCTAGTTAAGAAATCTACAAAAAAAACAAACCAAAATGTGTCGTCTACACATCTTGTAAATGTCCCCGGTGTGTCCCACCGTATCCAAATATGTCCGTGAAAAAATAAAAATAAAAAAAAGACACTCATTGTCACGTGTCCAAGCGTATCACAGATGGGTCCTATGCCGGCATTCTAGTGTAACCAAGGTGTCCATGCTTCCTAGTATGTAAATGCAAAGATGAAAACTCAAAGCAGATATTAAGGAAATCAAAAGTTGCCAAGAAAAGAAAATGTTACGAAAATTACCTCAAATCACAAGTCAACCTTACGCTTTTTCCCAGTCACAATCTGGAATATCTGCAGACCCCTACTAAACGCCTCATTAAAGAGGATCCTTGTCTGCATTGACTGGAACCCAGGCAACCACGATAGTAGTGCCACTGGGATCATGATAATCACCCCAAACATTATATCATACATGCGAGCCACCGAAATAACAGTCTCCCAAATCAAGGTGTTCTGCAGAAATGGCCGGAGTACTTGAGCAATTGAAATGAAGCCCCACCCGGTGGGAATGAATGCTAACATACTCGTGAAAAGATCAAGAAATTTGAACTGAGTAAACTGCAGCAAGGCAATGATCACAAGAATGGCAAGAGTAATAACAAGGAACTGAACCATACGATAGTATATGTGTTCTCTAGCAGCATATTTCTCCCGAGCATAAGCAATAATTGTATAAAGTCCAAGAGCCACCACAACGAAGATCCAAGAGAGCAAGTAAACAGCAATACTTTTGCTTCCCGCAGCAATGCCTAGCTGGTAAACAATCCCATACTGGAAAAAGAAAAACCGGAGGTCTAATATTATTTCCAGTACCTTTCCCCAAAGACCAGTTGTCCTTAGATGATCCTGTTCCTCGTACCACCATCTTTCCCAGCTCTGTTCAGCTTTTGCAAACACACCACCACGAAACCATATCCAGTTCATAAATTCATCAAAATCGTATACAGTTTTCAACCAATCAAAGCCAGAAGGATTGAAAACAAAGGGAGCCATGATCCAAGATACTACCAGGAACCAACTTGTGATTGTCAATGCTATGTAAACAAAAGTGCCAGTAGCTACTGGGCTATAGGAAGCATAAACGATGAGTATTAGCCCCAGCTCAATTGCCTTCACAAAGTGGCTACGAGCATAGAGTCTATAATTCTCTGCAAAACTCTTATGCTGCACAACAAAACCACGACCAGTTGCCCGGTACTTTGCTCCACCATGAAGAATAGTTCGGCCAAAGTAATGGGCACGAGTTCCCATGGAAAAAGTGAAGAAAACTGATGAAAGTTGGAGCTGCATTGTTATGAATTCCCAGATGGCCGCAAGGAAACCATTCTCCAATGAATTCTCCACAATCATGGGTAGGGCAGTGAACAGACCAAGTTGGATGATAAACTGCTGATTCAAAATTGCACCAAGTGCTTTATTATCGTTGGTGCCCTGTGCCGTAGCAGAACCCTCAACACCACTAAGAGCCAGATAAAGCCGGGCCCATAGAAATGAATAAACCGTCAAAACAACCATCATTGTATTGAAAAAGAACCCAACAGTAGTGTAGAAGAATGACAGCATCCGAAAGAAGTCCAATCTATGACCCAACCTATAGACATCTCTGCTAAGAACTTGCTCACCATTTCCGCTTGCAACCTTGGCTTCAAACATGGATATTTGATTTAACCCAACATCCCTTCCCTTGCCAACTTGAATATATTCGTGATGAGTGACATTCCCACCTCGCAATGTGCAATTGAAGCCAGCAAAAATGTCCTCACTGATGTTAATCACTCTAGAAGCCTTGCTTATCCCACCACGAGTTAAGAACCAAAACCTGTCAAACACATCTGGGTGGCCATAATGCATCCGGATTTTCAAAGGGTTCGCCAAGACTCGCTGCCCCAAGGTGACAAAACTTTTCTCCTGAGCCGACATGAACCAGGCAAGTGATGAGACAGAGCCAGTAAAAATATCTTCCCGAACTCCCAAGATAGTAGGCTTCCTGATACCATAGTAGTGTCGGTACTCCTCCAAGAGATTCCGCATTTTCAGTGCCTCCTCAAAATGGTTGTCTTGATTCATATCAATAGTCTGAACGGCATCTCCCCTAGTAAATATAAGAGCATGGTTCTGATTTTCTGGCTTACCCTCCCCAAGCTTCAAAGGACCTGGCAACTTGATTCGATAGATCTCCACTTCCTTCTGCAACTGTTGATCATACTTCACGAGAACAGAGTGAAACTCCTTCTCATCCCTCCCTGTTGACACCTCATCGACATAGGCGACCCGAAGAGCTTCATTGTTTATCATCAGATGCAGGATTTCCTCCGCACGGGGGTCCTTTTTGGCCTTTTGAGACCCATAAATCTGGCAAGCAACAACATAAGTGAATTTCATCAGAACAGTCCCATACTCATGGCCTTTGAACAACAAACTAACTGAACTACTTGCTCGACTCAGACTCCTTGTAGATGGTGACCTCTCTGAGGTCAAACCATCAACACTGCCACTATGCCTCATGGAAGCAAGCTCCCGTGATCCTTCCCTGATGTCCATCTCAGATGCAGAATCCAGAAAAGCCAGCATCTTGAGAGCTCGATAGTAATACATCATTCCCCTCACAGTGCGGCCAAGCGTTTGGCCTCTGTATGATGCCCAAAGCCGAATATCTCTCAGCTTGGTAGTCCATATTTCGTTATCTTTCACCATCCCTTCTCGTCGCATTCGCTCCATGAAATTCTTCCACTCATCAGCATAAATCGTCTGCAAGTAATATAGGATAGAAATCCCATCTTCATTCTCAGTTCGAAGTTGTTCCTTGCTGTACAGTACTTCTTCATTGTAATAAGGAGTCAAAACACTGAAAGCCATCATTTTCTCAACTTGAGGAGCATGAGGCATGTTCATGAACAGAGAGTTGCTGAAGAAAGCAATTCGATGTCTAGCCTCAAGATTTACTGGGATATTGTGCATCGAGTCCCTAGACGTAAGAATTGTGTGCAGGCGCCGAGCCTGGCGATAAAAGGTCTCATTATCTATATCAGGTACCTCGACAGCATTCTCAAAAAGCAATCCTGTGCTGGAAACTGGCCTGCGAGGAGCCAAACCATCCTCCCTAAGCTGGTCCATACTCCTCTTCTCATTGAGAAAATCTCGAATACCAATCTCATAAAGGGCCTGTAGAGTGTTCACAACCTTGTCAAGATCCTTCTTTGGCTTGATTAGTATATCAAGAAGAGTGATCAACTTGGCATGGATCTGGGGAAGTGCAGTCATCTTGAAGTCCCTTGTGAACTTCTCAATCTGAACGGACTGATCAATTTCTTGAAAGAAGATTGTAACAATGGAATGCTCCTCAGTGTTGGTTTTCACAATCTCAAGCAGCAAGTGCCTAATACAGTCATAAGTTTCGATAACAGCGCAACGCCTGTATTCATTCTTGCAGATTTTATACCAAAGCCACTTATCCGGAGCGTCTACTAACTCCTTTGCCTGGCTGAGGGCAAGCAATAGCTCATTGCAGAGGAGTAAACACGGCCAGCGAATAACCCTAACATTCCAGGTATTTTGAGGCAGCTCCAATAGCTCAACCTCGTGATCACTGAGGATGTCTTCTTCCCTGAATGTCAAAATGATCTCATTCCATATCAACGCAAATTTGTTTGCCTCCACCTGATTTGATTCCAGCTTCTTGAAGGGCGTGCCAAGTCCATACCTCAGCTGCAATCGGTGGATGGCATCCTTAAACTTGGTCCTCAGAGTCCCCCTTGCATTTAACAACTGCTCCTCGGGCATGAGATTAAACTGAATTGCATTGGCAAAGAATTGGAATCTCAATCTCAACTGCTGTATGTTCCGAATCTCACCCAAGTGAGAAAACAGCCCAACTGCTGCACCAACAAACGAGGAGTAAATGGCGTACCAAATCTGCAGATCCATCAGGTAAATCAAAACAACAGGAAGCCACAACAACCCAACTGCAAACCTGTTGCTGTGGCTAAAAAATTCATGCCACTCATAATTTACATCCCTGATGCGCAAAAGGGTCTTCGTTGGTTCAATCATGGGTTTGATTTGCAAAAAGTAACTGAAGGAAAACTTTGTAGCAAGCACAACCACCCAGAAAAGAGTATACTTGATATTATCCACAAGACCTTCCCTAAGGCCACGACCAACAAAAGTTCGGCTCTGAAACCACCATGACAAGATATAAAAGATCCTCCAATTCGTATTCTCAATGAAATTCCGAATCCATGGCAAAATAAACAGAGCCAGTGCCAGAAGCTCCGGGGCAATGAACACCAATGCGACCTCAAGAAAGTTCACGACCCTCTTCTTCACCGCACCAGACCACCCTCTGTCACTATTCTTCTGAGTCCAAATTCTCCCATAGAAAACCCCAAAAACCACAATCCACGTGGCTGCCACAACAGCCTTCAACACCATCCTCACCCCGAGCCACATTGTCTCCCTTGAAACCAACCTATACTGCATGCCGGCATCAAGTAACGACTGCAAAAACCTCAACCCAGTCCATGTAAAGAACACGGTCAATACTTTCACCTGAACCTCCGTACTCTTCAACGCCTGCCACGGATACTCCTTCTTCTCCCACGCAACAATCACTGCTGCCTGCATAAACAAAATCAACATAATCCAAAGCTTATCAAAGCTCCTATACAAGTTCAAAAATGACCTTTGTTCCACAAACCCCGTCTTCCCGATCCTCTTCCCCCTACTGCTCGGCACAAAAAAATTACTCCCAATATCAATAGGCCACTTTAGCTTCTCAAAACACCTCTTACTCCAGAAATACTCGTTGATATCGTCATAATTCCGCCAAGCAGAGTGAGGGGCAGTCCCATTTTTACTATTTTCTACCTCAACCCTGATTGTTTCGTAAATGGGTTTCACAACCCGGTTCAGAAACGCGTTTTCTCCAGATATTGAAGGTAAAGCAGGCCTACCCGTGTTCTCATCAATGTAGTCCTCAAGAATTCTATTCAGTTCCATAGCCATATGATGAAAAATGTAGCATAGACATTCGGGAACGAAGCGGAGGTTAGCGGTCTCACCCCAGATTAGTAGAAACAGGCCTACATAGAGTAATTCGCGGCGCTGATCGGAGGACCGGCGAGTGGAGTCGGAGATCCAGACGTTCGATTTTCGGCCGAGAAAGGAGCACCAATGGGTGTAGTTCTTGAGGAGTTTCCGGCGGAAGCGGCGGAGGACGGAGGAGTCGAGGACATCAATGTTGTCCGGCGGAGGCGAGAGCCGCATCTGGGCGTTGGCGAGGTGAAGGACGAGGGTTTCACGCTGGTTGCGAACGTTGGAGGCTTGGAAGCCGAAGAAGGCGCCCAGCCAGTCGAGGAGGTCCATGTGGGGGTGCCATGGTGTGAAGGGCGGTTTGCGGAGGTCGCCAACGGAGCGGAGGGCGGCGGCCGCAGCTCGTACTTCGGGGAAGCGGAGGGAAGGATGGTCAGCTAGAAGGTTGTGAACTGGGATGATATTGTAAGGCTCTTGGTCGGATGGATCGGAGGGTTGGGATTTGGGGGACCGGTTTGAACGGTAGGGTGATGGACCGGGTTGGTCTGGCGGTGGTCGTTGGCGGTGGCTCATGGTGGCATAAGAGATCTAGTGGCAGCTGTGGTCGTTGTGATTTTGAGGTTTGGGGTTTTTTTTGGGTCTGCTTATGTATGTGTGTCAGTGTGTGAGAGAGAGAGCTGCGGGTCTGTGGAAAAGGGACGTGCAGGGAAATACTTTGGGGAGAAGGAAGAGAGTGTAGGCTCGTGGGCGCGATATCGAGTTGTGTGGACCCGTGTGGAGATTTTATCTGTAAATTTGAATAAAGTTTCGTAATACCTGCCACTGTCCATGTGAGATTTTCTCTCTCTCTCTCTCTCTCAACGGTCAATATGAACTGTTCAATTCTTTTTCTTCTTTATTCTTTCATTTTCAAACTTCTCAGTGGCTAAGGAAATAAATATTGAGTAATATTGGCCTATTTTGCAATATAATATGGGTGAAATTTGAAAAGATTATATTCGTTATAATATTTTGAATTTATACTTATCCTCAAAAAAAAACTTTAAGTTTGAACTTCAAAAAATATTCTGCTCGAATTCAATTATTAGGTTCAAATTCTAGTAGAGGTCAAAAGTTTTCTCCCAATATTTGACTTTATTGTTCGAAATTTCTTTTCATTTATAGAATATTTTTGACAAGGCTCAACAAGTTTTATTGTGCACAACCCTTATGTGATAAGACCTATAATCAAATATAGGTATTGATTTGCTACCTCGTAACAATGTTAAATTGGAAATAGTAAGTGATTGCAAGGAAAACATTCATAGAAATACAAGAGGGTACCATGTTAAAATTGCCAAAAAGGCTTTGCAATTTGCATCTTCCTTTTGTGTGGGGAATCCTTGTAATGTAGATAAGTATGCTTTTATCTAGAACAGTTTTTGTAACTTATTTGCAGTTATCATTAAAATGTTGTATAAAATTTGAATCAAATGCCACAAGTTGAACGACTTTGAACTTTATAGATGCTATCTCAATTTGCCAAAAAAATGTTGGAATCTAAAACCACCGATAAAGCTACGGTAACGCAAAAAGTATGGTGTAATGATCAAAATTTTATTTCAGTGTATTATTTAGGTCATCTAAAAAATAAAAATATTTTAGCGTGTATCGAAAATGTTTCGACCCATTTTAGAAATATAATGAAAAAAATAAAAAATAAATAAAAATTATATTTTCTAAAAGATTGATTAAAATATATCAAAATATCTTAAAATACTTTAAAACATTCTGAAATAATTATACAAATGTATTAAAATATTATAATACATCTCAAAACATTATGGAATACCTCGAAATATTAGAATTTCGATTACATCACTGATTCATTTCGATTTTTTTGAAAACGAAAACGTTTTCGACCATTTTGAAATAATATTTTAATCATTGCTATGGTGACGAAATTGACCGTAAACATGATTCTAGTTTGGAAAATTAAAAATGATAGTTTTAAATGTGATAAAGTATTTAATATCGAAGTCTGGCTCCAAATTTTAAAGTAACACAATTGATAATAGTGATAAGTTATAAATTTAAACATTTTGAATTTGAATCTTAGTAATCTTTTAGGGTCAAATTATGAGAGATTTATCTCTTATAAATTCTTTAGTTCTGACGTGGATAACTTATTTTTAATCGAATTAGAGAAAAGATTAATCGAGGTATACATAAACAACGGATCCCCTAAATCTCTTTTAGAAAGTTTTCTTTGGAGGGTGAAGCTGTGAAAATTCGAAAAAGAGGGGGTTCATTATATAATTTAAACAGAAGGAATTTTTTTAATCCTTGAAGTCGGCCGCATAAGATGGACAAAGTAATTGCTTTTGGTAGCATAGCACTAAGTAACGTCTGACGTGTTGATACTCTTTGTCTCTCCACGATTAAAATAAAAAACAACAAAAACTTGGACGCGCTTATGAAAATTATAAATCGGAGACATTTTCAAATTGAAAGAGATAGCACGATAAGTTGTAAATTTTGAATTTAAAATTTAATAATTTTTTAAACATGTTGGAATGTGGGTTTGAACGTGATTTAAAAGATAAATTTTGTGAAAATAATTCAATACAACTTTTAAACATGTATTTAATTCAAGATTTCTGATTCAGAATTTATAGGATAAATGAATTCTGTCACGTAGTAAATAGTTGATTAAAACCCATAAATGGGAGTGTGATGAAATTCATAGAGTCTGATCATGAGAAATTTATTATTTATGAATATTCTAGTTCTAACATAAATGACTTGTTTTTTATCAAGTCAAAAAAAATTAATCGAAATACGTATAAATTAACTTACACAACTCTAATAATTAAAATAATAATAATAATAATAATTACAGCTCATTTTAGTTTTTGGTGTGAATATAGAAATACTGGTGGCCATCGTATTAACTACTAATAACATAGATTGGACAACAGATTTGAAAACTCTGATTTCTAGACAAAGTCTCCAAATTGGTAATAATGACCAGTTTGTTTNCCAAATGTAACTTTGCTTTGAAAAATTGTAATTTCATCTTAAAAATTATAATTTTTGATATTAATTTTAATTTTTTATAATCGATCATATCATTTATAAATTATAATTACATTTAANAATACGTATAAATTAACTTACACAACTCTAATAATTAAAATAATAATAATAATAATAATTACAGCTCATTTTAGTTTTTGGTGTGAATATAGAAATACTGGTGGCCATCGTATTAACTACTAATAACATAGATTGGACAACAGATTTGAAAACTCTGATTTCTAGACAAAGTCTCCAAATTGGTAATAATGACCAGTTTGTTTCTTTGGCCAGGCCGACCCTTTGTGTTTTTGGCTTTTTAATGGACAATTAACTTGGGATATTGACCACCGAGTGGAGTGATTTAATAGGGTATTAACCGAATTTTTTATTTTAAATCATTTTCAAAAAGCAAACAAGAAAACAATGTTTTATATTCTCGACAAGTTGCTAATAAAATGTCAATTAGTATATAAGTTGTTAGCAAAAAAAGTTCTTCGATAATCAAGGTGTAAATATAAGTGTTTCATTTATATACTAAGAAGAATAGTAATTAAGGAATATTTCTTAATGATGCACAAAATATGTTTATGCACTATACGTCAAGTATTTAATACAGTAATTAAGAAGGAGATTCAATACAAATAAATACAAATTAAGTGGTTTGGTCAGAGTAATTTACTCCACTATGAAGGATTACAATGGCTTGAGCGTTTTATNTCAAATTCTAGTAGAGGTCAAAAGTTTTCTCCCAATATTTGACTTTATTGTTCGAAATTTCTTTTCATTTATAGAATATTTTTGACAAGGCTCAAGTTTTATTGTGCACAACCCTTATGTGATAAGACCTATAATCAAATATAGGTATTGATTTGCTACCTCGTAACAATGTTAAATTGGAAATAGTAAGTGAGTNTATTTGACTTTATTGTTCGAAATTTCTTTTCATTTATAGAATATTTTTGACAAGGCTCAACAAGTTTTATTGTGCACAACCCTTATGTGATAAGACCTATAATCAAATATAGATATTGATTTGCTACCTCGTAACAATGTTAAATTGGAAATAGTAAGTGATTGCAAGGAAAACATTCATAGAAATACAAGAGGGTACCATGTTAAAATTGCCAAAAAGGCTTTGCAATTTGCATCTTCCTTTTGTGTGGGGAATCCTTGTAATGTAGATAAGTATGCTTTTATCTAGAACAGTTTTTGTAACTTATTTGCAGTTATCATTAAAATGTTGTATAAAATTTGAATCAAATGCCACAAGTTGAACGACTTTGAACTTTATAGATGCTATCTCAATTTGCCAAAAAAATGTTGGAATCTAAAACCACCGATAAAGCTACGGTAACGCAAAAAGTATGGTGTAATGATCAAAATTTTATTTCAGTGTATTATTTAGGTCATCTAAAAAATAAAAATATTTTAGCGTGTATCGAAAATGTTTCGACCCATTTTAGAAATATAATGAAAAAAATAAAAAATAAATAAAAATTATATTTTCTAAAAGATTGATTAAAATATATCAAAATATCTTAAAATACTTTAAAACATTCTGAAATAATTATACAAATGTATTAAAATATTATAATACATCTCAAAACATTATGGAATACCTCGAAATATTAGAATTTCGATTACATCACTGATTCATTTCGATTTTTTTGAAAACGAAAACGTTTTCGACCATTTTGAAATAATATTTTAATCATTGCTATGGTGACGAAATTGACCGTAAACATGATTCTAGTTTGGAAAATTAAAAATGATAGTTTTAAATGTGATAAAGTATTTAATATCGAAGTCTGGCTCCAAATTTTAAAGTAACACAATTGATAATAGTGATAAGTTATAAATTTAAACATTTTGAATTTGAATCTTAGTAATCTTTTAGGGTCAAATTATGAGAGATTTATCTCTTATAAATTCTTTAGTTCTGACGTGGATAACTTATTTTTAATCGAATTAGAGAAAAGATTAATCGAGGTATACATAAACAACGGATCCCCTAAATCTCTTTTAGAAAGTTTTCTTTGGAGGGTGAAGCTGTGAAAATTCGAAAAAGAGGGGGTTCATTATATAATTTAAACAGAAGGAATTTTTTTAATCCTTGAAGTCGGCCGCATAAGATGGACAAAGTAATTGCTTTTGGTAGCATAGCACTAAGTAACGTCTGACGTGTTGATACTCTTTGTCTCTCCACGATTAAAATAAAAAACAACAAAAACTTGGACGCGCTTATGAAAATTATAAATCGGAGACATTTTCAAATTGAAAGAGATAGCACGATAAGTTGTAAATTTTGAATTTAAAATTTAATAATTTTTTAAACATGTTGGAATGTGGGTTTGAACGTGATTTAAAAGATAAATTTTGTGAAAATAATTCAATACAACTTTTAAACATGTATTTAATTCAAGATTTCTGATTCAGAATTTATAGGATAAATGAATTCTGTCACGTAGTAAATAGTTGATTAAAACCCATAAATGGGAGTGTGATGAAATTCA